AGGCTGCTAAACCCTGCTCACTGTGCAGCCCTCTATAGCTAATTTTTCTTACAAGGTGATTTATTTTTGTGATGCTTTGAGTAGCAGCTAGTACTACACTGAGTCTGAACACAGAAAATGAATCTGATGTGATGGACTAATGCACCCTGTAGCCAAATGGAGTCTCTTTTTGCATAGGGGCCTGGGGACCTTTGTGAGTTTGTATGATAAAAGCGTGAAACTGGAATCAAACATGCTAAAAAGTCTGAACAATAAGTTTGAGGGGTTTTACTTCATAACATCCATAAACTGAAAATACATACAAGGTGCTTCCACTTTCCCCTGAAGTGGAGCTGTGTAGCATGTCATTTTGAAGCCCACAGTTCTGCTTTATTCCTCACTTGCTTCTGGGAAGATTTGGGGCATGTTTTCAGCAATTTGCTATCACTTGGGACTTGCTTGCTTTGATCAGGTGTTCAGATCCTGCATCTTGAGGACTTTAATCCAGTAACTGCTTCTTATAGCGGCCTACAGTAGAAACCTCAGAAAAAAAGTTTTAGCTGGCTGAGAGGAGGATATTGCCACCCAGTTCGTCCCAGATCCTTTATCTTTTAGAATATATCTGAATATGCTTTAAGAAAAGTTTGTAATTCTGAAAGACTTGTCAGTCCAAAAGCTATGTAAGGTTATCAGTTACATCTTGGGCTTGAATGTTCCTTTGTGTGTCCAGACAGTATTTTAATGTAACAGCTCCTGATGGGAAGAAATGCACCTCTTCTTGTAACTTTAGCTCTTTCTTGTGACTTAAGGATAGCTTCTCTTTTGTGTTCCTGATCTACTTTTTTTTCCACGTTTCATTATTTCTAATCATGATGCTTTCCAAGTAGTTTCTAATAACCTATTTCTAGACATACTTCTTTTCTCAGAAGAGGCAAGTAAAGATGAATGAGCATTAGCGTGCATAGAATTTCAGATGGATTTTTAATATTTAGTTCTCTAAAAACTTTAGAAAAATGTCAGAGTGCTCATTTTATAAAGTCTAATCTATTAGTGCAAGAAAATACAACCCATGCCCTGGAAAGGTAGAATAATCCATCAGCAGTCTGTGGCTTTTGCTACATTAATTGAGGCTGGTAGGTGAGAGTTTGTTGGATGTTCCAGACAAAAGTTTCAGTGTAGAAGAGATACGATTATTTTGTCTTTCCTAATAGTCCTGAACTTGTCGCACATTCTTGCTTTAAGTCCAGTAAGTGATCATTTTCAACAACAAGCTGGAAGTACAGTCTTCAGTACAAGCTCTGGAGTCATGTGTCTTGGTTTCAGGCCATTATGATTATTAAATGATCCTGGTTAGAGTTGTTTTCTCCTAGATCATCCTAGAGAACAGTTAATTAAAACCTTTTAGCCTTTTCTCCCCGTTTTTCTTCTCCCAGTGGCTTGTATTTTGAAAGTTTTCATGGTGACCTTGAGCAGTTTGCTATTTATTGGCAGGGAGTGCAGAGTGCTGAGTTGGAGCTGTGGAGCAGCGACTGCTTCCTACAGGTCGCTGTAACTTCACACAAAGAGCTTGCTTCGCTAAAAATGATCAGTATGATTGTGGGTATTTTTTTCTTGGAGGAGGGGGAGGCGGGGGAGTTCCTCCTTGTTGACAAGCAAAAGCATTTACCTTGCTGTAATTTGCAGATAATTCATATAAAAATGTAAGCTTAGAAGTAGTGTGTATTGATTTATACCTGCAGAAAAGTGTATTATTCTGGTCTGTCCCCTTTGCACTCTGATGACTGGTTTCCTTCCCCACTTCGCAGGGCACATGGTATTACTAAATAACTTCAGGCTGACTCTGTGACAGATACCTTGTTTTCCAAGTCCCAAGCAGCTGTAGGCTCAGCTTTGGCACTTGCAAAGGCTGTTTATTGCGAGTATGTTGTCAGATGGGAATGGTTATTTGGCACTTAATGACAATAAACCTCATTCCAAATCCTGGGCTTTGGCAGCCAACCACCTGAAGTTTGAGTTTTGAGCCTAGAACTGTAGCAAATGCACATCAGAAAACTCCTAGTTTTATCTTTTGTATTCCCTCCTTAGTACTTTCTTCTTCATAGATAGGTAAGAGCTGGGACAAGCAAACAGCTTTTCTGCAGAGTGGCACCTCTGCATTAGACAAGGGTGTAGTAGCAGTGAATCCAGTCACTTAACCAAAAAACTCACTCTGAAGTGTTTTACTCTTTGCCATGTGGTAGTAGATAGTTGGAAGGTATATATTAAAAAAAAATAAAAAATAGGGGAGGGGGGAAAAAATCTTGGTAGACCGTAATGCCAAATAAAACATATAAGAGACATATAAGTATGGGTGCTTGGAATGCTTGAAGGAAAGAAAAAAGAATCATAAAGAGGTAATTTGAGTCCTCTGCTGTTCTCTGATTTAATTCACTGTGTAGCTTCTGTAGTGGCACAAGAGAGCAGGGAGGGAGGCTGACAGCTGATGTGGTTCTGCTTTGTTTCCTTCTGTGATGATACTGATTTATGCTGTGTTGCGGAAGAATTTAGGGTTTTACTTCACTGTCCTCTTGTGGGCCTCTTTTAAAGGGAATGATGAACAAAGCTTCAAGAGCTTTCACAGGAGTAATGGTTCAGAAAAGTAGGGCTGGTGAAAGAGATGGAAATAACAGGGGTTAATTAACTAATTAATTTATTAATTAACTCCTACTTGGACTTCCAGTCTTATCTCTAGAGGTGACAAGCATTTCAGTCCTCAGACAGGCGAATAAAGTCAATAGTAACTGTTGTTCTGATTAAAGAACAAAATGTTTTGCAGCAAAGATAATTTAAACTTACTGTTAAGAAAATACTTTATAATTAATCAAATGGCAAGCCACTGGGCAGAGTAACGAAGGTCGGCCTGGTTTTATTTTGACTGATACCTAGTAGAGATAGCATAGGTGTACTTGCCTGTGTACCTGGATGCAATACAATTAAATCTCTTGAACTGTTTTTAGAAGGCGGTTTGTGTTTTGTCTTGACCTCCTGCAGATCAAAATAATTTCAAATTTGGTGGCTTTGTAATTCCACTAACCATAAAACTGGTTTTATTTTGTTTACTCACACACAGTAAGTAATATTGTAAGGCACAAAATCCGAAAGTACTGCTGGATAATGTATATCTTTAATAGATTCTCCTGTCTTCAGTGGCAGACTTTGATACAAGGTGATGTTGTGTGCAGAGCTTAAAAAAATGTCAGTTTAGTTATATATGAATAAGCCCTCATGTCAGACTGTTTTAGTGTGGAACTAACTAAACTCTCAAAGCAGTAACTTATAATTTATCTTTTAATCACACTTAATGTTGGCCATGTGGATTTGTGTAAGCACAGTTAACATACTTATTTAGATAAAGCCTGATGAGAGGTTTCTCTGCCACCAGATTTCTATCCCTGTTTTGTAAGGGGTTATCTGAGATGTGATTCAGAGGACGATTGACTGGTTCAGGCTATGGCAGAGCAGCGAGTCTTGAGCAGCATCAGTTCTGAGCCTTGTTTCAGCCCAGTTTCATCTCAGTTACAGGCTGATGCTTTATTGGTGGCAGACAGTGAATCTAAAAGAAAAGGTAAGTGGATGTTGAGGACTTTTCAAATGGGGGTTGAGTTGGGAAGCACAGGCAGTAGGCACTGGAGTATTTTCTACTGTGCTCTCCTTCAGGCCTGCTCAAAGTAGTGGTTGTATCAGACATTGCTGTGAGCACCAGCTCTGCAGTAGCTGGAAAGGAAAGGCACAGTGGAGGTGTCGTCCGTGTGCTGAGAGGTCTGTCCTTAGTACTTGTCTCTACCAGCTGTCTCTTTGCTCTCTTAAGTTCATGGTTTGGGTTCATGTCTGTACTCAGGAGGAGCTTGTGGAGCAGATCTGGCAGGAGTTTCCTTTGCCTGACTTCTGCCTGGGTAGCTCTAGGGTAAAAGATAGGCAAAAGAGTGGTTTGCTGAGGTGTGAATCACTACAGTGACTTCTTATTTTCAGTTCCCTGTTGGATGCCTTAGGAATCATACCCTTATAAGAGGAAAATCTTACTTGCTACTTGGGGAATTGCGAGGGGTGGTTTTAATCTGTGACTGGAACATATGTACTCTTTGGTTCATCAGTACTTCCTAAAATGTGAAGGTTTCTTGCCTAGACTTTCAGCTGGTGCAGATGGCTTAGTGTTTCTTGAGAGCAGTAGCGAGCTATGTGGCTTGTCCTCTATGCTGGTCTACCTCTGTACGTCACCTCCTCATAGTGGATGCAGATGTGGTTTGAGTATGTGAGGAGTGAGAGACTAGGGCTCCTGTAAAAAGGCAGCAGCAGCAAGTGCTTGATGGGCCACCAACCATGACATGCTCTCTGCTCAGAGTTTGTCATGAAAGGAGGTGGTGGGGGCTGCAAGCTGGGGCCTATACAACAAGGTTTTAGTAGGTAAATTCATGGTTTTAGCCCATGATTTAAGGTTTACATACTGAAAAAAGAGCAATACTGAGCTTGGCTGTGGTGGTTTCCGATGTGAATATCAGTTGTACATTTTTTGTTTGTTGTGTCAATGCTAACATGAGTCTCCAAGCTACTCAGTTAAGTTGATGTTTCCACCATTAGAATTTAGAATGATGGATGATATTTTCTTTTGCCATCCAGAGTGGGTGCAGAAGGATATATAGAACATACAGAGAAATATGACATTAAACCAGGATGCAGTAATGTTACTGGAGAGGAAACCTCTCATCCATTGCCAGAGGCTCTCAAGTGCAGTGCTGTAGGTGCTGCCTGTGTGATAAAGATAGCTGTTGGCTGGATGGAGCATTTTTGCTTTAAAAAAGAAAAGATTAATCTGTTGCTAAAAATTCTTAGGTGTTAATACTGATTTAAATCCAGCCCAAGTCAGTGCCTCTGAGCCAGCAGGGGCTGCGAGGTATTTTAAGAAATGCAGGTTGGTACCTTCCTTGGGGAAGGTGCTGTTGAATCCGTCCTGTTCTGATAACAAACTTCTGTTTTTCTGATTTTAGGATACTTGTGAAAGATGGTGGATCGCTTGGCAAACAGTGAGGCTAACACTAGAAGAATAAGTATAGTGGAAAACTGCTTTGGAGCAGCTGGTCAACCCCTGACTATTCCTGGTCGTGTTCTGATCGGAGAGGGAGTACTAACAAAGCTGTGTAGGAAGAAGCCGAAAGCAAGGCAGTTCTTCCTGTTCAATGACATCCTTGTTTACGGCAATATAGTCATCCAGAAGAAGAAATACAATAAACAGCACATAATCCCACTGGAAAATGTCACTATTGATTCCATCCAGGATGAGGGAGACTTACGGAACGGGTGGCTTATCAAAACACCAACAAAGTCTTTTGCTGTTTATGCTGCCACTGCTACAGAGAAGTCTGAGTGGATGAACCACATTAATAAGTGTGTTTCTGATTTACTTTCCAAAAGCGGGAAGACCCCTAGCAATGAACATGCAGCTGTCTGGGTACCGGACTCGGAAGCCACTGTGTGCATGCGCTGTCAGAAAGCAAAATTCACGCCCGTCAACCGTCGTCACCACTGTCGCAAGTGCGGCTTTGTCGTGTGTGGGCCTTGCTCTGAAAAGAGGTTCCTGCTCCCAAGCCAGTCCTCCAAGCCTGTGCGGATTTGCGACTTCTGCTACGATCTTCTTTCTACCGGGGAGATGACTGCTTGCCAGGCCCCTAGATCAGACTCCTACAGCCAGTCACCTAAATCATCTCTAAATGATGTATCTGATGATGATGAGGATGAAGACAGTAGTGACTGAGGACCAGATGTTTTTTTCCCATGTGTTGCAATTTCTTTCAAACCGTATGGAGCTGCTTTTGGGGAAGTCTGTAGTGAGGTTCCTCAGAAAAAAATCCTTTTCTAGCCATAAAATACGCCTGAATATCTTCAATTACAATGTGCCTCAATCTATGAATTCTCTAGACAATAGTTTTTTCACTCCTCTGCAGGGATAGGCTGTTGCAAATGTTATCAGAGTATTTTCCAACTTCTTATACTTGAGTTGTGTCTAGGTTAGACTTTTGTGGAAGATTGGAGAATAAAATGTACTTTCTTAATTTAACAACCGATACTTCCTAATGCTTCATATTGCTGTGTTGTTAAGTGGGATTTTTTTTTCCGGATATGGAGAGGAAAACTAAGCATGCATGGAACAGTGATGTTTTGGTTAAACCTTTATATCATCTTGTGTTTATCTAACCATGGTATATAATGAGTTGAAATGTGACATAACATACAATCCTAAATGTCACAAAACGTGGAAATTGTCTTGTTTAGCTCTTATTTATGACTTCCTATGCCAAGCAGTGCCTTGTACCAATTGTGCTGATTCAGGAAGAAACATATCTATTGTGTTGTCTGTATTTGCCTGATGCTGATACCTTGAGAGATTGTTGGTGCTATTGAAAATAACTGCTGTGTTCAAAGTGGAGCTTTGACAAGGTCATAACTGTACCGAGTGGTGGGTGATGAAGACCTGAATCACACATCCTCACCTGTGCAGGCAGACCCCAAGACTCCGTTGATTCCCACAGGCTGCAGCAGGGTTCTCCTAGCAGGAGTTGCATTGCAGGTCAGGATCTTGAGATGGGAAGCTTAGTGTGGCTCTTCATGGGGATTTATATATTTTATTTTCAGAGCAGTTTCTAAGTTTCAAATTTGGCAAATGCATTCTGAAATTTTAGCGGGGTGGTAGAGCATTTGGATGTGATAGCCTGTATATTTTTGGAAGTAGCTCCCTAAAATAACACTAAATTGTTTCTTAAAACATTGAGGAGAGGGTCAGGTTTCCCCCATCCCCCAGGAGTTTTATTGGCTTGTTTAGAAAGAGCCTCATTATTTTGAACCAAAAGCCTGCAAGTATCCTTATAAAAATTGGCTTTCCTTTTTACACAGCTGACCTCAGGATAAATGTGAGATGCTTGTTATTTCATTCTAAATGTATACCCAGGACCAAGAAAGATGTATTTAAGAACTGTAATGAAGTTGTCAGTGCAGAAAATATCTGTAATAATATTCATTTTTATTTTTAATAAGTTCTTGTATACAGAAATGTCATGTTCCCATATAAATGTCAAAGTTAGATTTGCAAAGACATGTTAAACCCCCAAATACTATGTTTCTATATTTTTATAATGGTAGTATCAATTTTGAAGCAGAAAAACCTCTTTGAAATAGTTGTATGAATGTACAACTGACTTTATAAAAAGTTACACTTTTATATCTCTGAGTGACAGTTCTGCACTGTTTGCCTTGGTTGGCAATAATTGGGTTAAATATTTATTGAATAAACAATCAATGCTGCATATTGCACTAGTCTCCCTTTCTGTATGCTGTAAATCTCAGTCCATGTATATATAAAAGAGCAGAGCACTTCAGAGCTGTAGCTGTCTGAGATTTCTGGTAGCTGAAGATGCACTTAGTATCTTTAGGGAGGCACTCTGCATGAATAGTCTGCAGGACATCGCTTCAGGTGAAAACTGCATTAATATTTTTAGCTTGGGCAATTTCTAAAAGTAAGCTCTTTTTTTTTTTTTTTTTTAAAAAAAGCACTCAGAAGTACTTGATCTACTTTGAAATATACATAACAAGGGGAGAGCTAGGGATGGGGAAGACTGTAAATTTGCCAGAGAAGCAATAAACAATTGTATATACTGAAAAAGTAGCTGAAATGAGTAGTCACGTTCACTTATTCCTTGAAATATGAGGGAATGGTGACTTGCAGCAGGGGAAAACGGGCTATTCTGAGAAGGCACTTCCAGTTAATAGTGCTTACTTTTTGTACCTCTCAATATTTATATTTCAGGACTGGAGACTTGTAAGCCTAAGTTCTGATACAGAATCAAAGTACAAACCTCTCTTATACATACCTTCTGATGACTAACAGGTATTTTCTTCCATGTGCAATTGTTTCTTAAGCTGTCAAATATTAACTTGTCTTGTTAAAGGGTCTATCTCTGTGTACTTTCCCTGTGTTTCTATATATTGTGCTTACTTTTCAGCACTTTCTAGGGGGTGAGAAGAGGGTTGCCGAGAGATCATATCCTATATTTTGCAAGATGTTCTGTACCTACTTCAAATATCTTTTTATCTGTGAATGAAACTTGCACTGTGCCACACTGATCCCTGAAGCTGTAACCAAACCAACTTGTATGTGTGGGAGTTACCATCTGAAACTGATGTATGTGGTCCAAGCTTTCTGAGAAAGCATTAAGAAAAGGTGTTTTATGGTATTACTCCTATCCCTCAGTGATATTAGTTTAAAACTTTACAAAATGGACTTAACAGTGACTTCTCTTGTACTTAAATTCCTGAAAGGGCTCATTTCATCCTTTGTGATCTTGTTCTTTCAAATTATTTTATTTACAAATATACAGTGTAGCTTCAAGCCGATGTGTTTAATTTTCTTTAACTGTGGGCCTTCAAGAATGACCGAATAGGGAGACTGGTTTTTATCTTGCAAGTATTTTAGCAGGAAATTTATTCACTCTCTGGAGGGATTAATAAACTGGGAGTGTGAGCATACATGAGGAGACTTAAGACCAAATTGGAAATAAACGTAGTTATGTATTTAGAAGCCACTTGCACACTTTACTGTCTGTTTAAAACAAGGGTGACCAAGTGTGTTGTGGAGTTTGGCTTTTTTGGTAATGTCAGCTGGGCCATTGGAAGACACTGGAGGACCCTTCACACAGGGCAAGGTGCTGAGCAGCTCAGCCGCAGTGCTGCGGGTCTCTGCCTTGGGCCCTGTCAAACCACTGCTGGAGGCAAGACTTCTTATGGTACCAAACCTGGAGGCTTAGTACATTTCTTGGAACTTCTACGCCCTTAAGGTCTTAAAATAGTGATTAAATACGGTCAGTCTTGGTGTACATTGTGTACTTTCATGGGTTGTAGTAGGCTTAACCTGCTTTTTTTTTTTTTTCATTTTGATAAGCTTTCCAAATCTAATGGAATGAAACTGGCAGCAGTGTCTGCAGTGTCTCTCTTGCAAGGCTCCGCACTCAGCTTCTGCTTTGTAGAAGATGCTGCATTGGAGAAATAAGTTCCCATTTACTCACTCTTTACCAGTACTTTCTTTTGCTGGTAATATTAAAGGAAAGGGAAGAGTCTCTCTTCTGAAGGTTTAATTGAAGCCTAGTAATTTTAGCCTCTGCACCTAAACTGCCATTTTTATCTTAAGATACAAATTAGAATGTTTTCCTTTCAGGCTTCATGCAGCTGAATTTCCTGTAGCTAATGAGTAATTGGTGAGGGTCAAGCACTGTTACTCAGTTTCAAATAAAGTTGAACAAAATGGGTGAGTGAATTAATGTGCGTTGGGTTTGCAGCAGGGCATTTAAGGTCTCTTCTCTGATGTGCAGATTATGAAAATGACATGCAGAAAGGTTGTATTTATGTGGGGCTTTCCCCCAAGGGATATACTTTAACTAATCTCTTAATGCAAACTAAACAGTGGTTATCAGAGTTGTTGATGTTCAAGTGGAAGCAGATTATGGCTTGTATTGTGATTTTTGTTTTCTTGTAATCCCTGGACCGATAGAAGAATGCCTGGTTCTGTTAGCAGATACATCCGGGAAGGAGCTGAAGTACCGATTTCTCCCATTATCCCCAGCAGCAAATTATTGTAGTACATATTAGAAGGTCTCTTGGCTGTGTTCTGCCTTTCATTTGATGAAATCTGAGCTACTTGTTTGTGCTTGCAGCCGGCCTCTTGCCAGCACTGGCTCCCGTGACTCATAAGAGTAGCCAGCATGCTTGCCGCGAAGAATCTCTGTTCTGTTCCCTTGCTGTGATGGAGTTTGGAGCTGCTGGGGAGTGCAGCACAGCCATGATGGCTTTGCTGTACAGTGACAGACAGCTGTACTGCACTGCATGGATCTGAGAATAGCCTTGAGCTCAATCAGGAGTAAGAAATCTGAACCTCAGGGTAGAGATTTGTTGTGTTCTAATTTACTTTCTGTCTGATGTACTACCTGTGCCCAGAGTGAGAATCAAAACACTTCAACTGCACATGGACACGGTTAGGGTAAGAACTAACAGTGTAAAGTGATTGAATGAACAATGTAATACACTGTCAAGGAGCAGGAGGCATTTCAGGGTCACTTAATGCATCTGATTGCTGTTATATCTGCCTAAGTGCAATAAGCTTTCCTCTGGGGTGAGAATAGAATCATAGAATAGTTAGGATTGAAAAGGGCCTTAAGATCATCTAGTTTCAACCCCCCTGCCATGGGCAGGGATAGCTCACACTAAACCATGTCACCCAAGGCTCTGTCCAGCCTGGCCTTGAACACCACGAGGGACGAAGCATTCACACCCCCCCGGGCAACCCATTCCAGTGCCTCACCAACCTCACAGAAAAGAATTTCTTCCTTGTATCCAATGTAAACTTCCCCTGGTTACGTTTTTACCCATTACCCCTTGTCCTGTCACTACAGTCCCTAATGAAGAGTCCCTCCCCAGCATTGTTATAAGTCCCCTTCAGATACTGGAAGGCTGCTATGAGGTCTCCATGCAGCCTTCTCTTCTCCAGGCTGAAGAGTCCCAACTTTCTCAGCCTGTCTTCATATGGGAGGTGCTCCAATCACCTGCTCATCCTCGTGGCCCTCCTCTGGACTTCTTCCAACAGTTCCATGTCCTTTTTATGTTGAGGACACCAGAACTGCACGCAATACTCCAGGTGAGGTCTCCCGAGAGCAGAATAAAGGGGCAGGATCACCTCCTTCAACCTGTTGGTCACACTCCTTTTGATGCAGCCCAGGATACGGTTGGCTTTCTGGGCTGCAAGCGCACACTGCTGGCTCATGCTCATTTTCGCATCGACCAGCACCCCCAAGTCCTCAGCAGGGCTGCTCTGAATCTCTTCTCTGCCCAGCCTGTAGCTGTGCCTGGGATTGCTCCCACCCAGGTATAGGACCTTGCACTTGGCATGGTTAAACTTCATGAGGTTGGCATCAGCCCACCTCACAAGCATGTCAAGGTCCCTCTGGATGGCATTCCTTCCCTCCAGCCTATCAACCGAACCACACAGCTTGGTGTCATCGGCAAACTTGCTGAGGGCACACTCAATCCCACTGTCCATGTCAGCAACGAAGATGTTGAACAAGACTGGTCCCAACACCAATCCCTGAGGGACACCGCTTGTTACTGGTCTCCAGCTGCACAGAGGTGAGGCTGACTGGTCTGTAATTTCTTGGGTCATCCATTTTCCCCTTCTTGAAAATGGGGGTTATATTTCCTTTCTTCCAGTCGTTGGGAACTTCACCTGACTGCCATGATTTTTCAAATATGATGGCCAGTGGCTTAGCAACTTCATTTGTCAGCTCCTTCAGGACCCGCAGATGGATTTCATCAGGACCCATGGACTTGTGCATGTTCAGGTTCTTAAGGTGGTCTTGACCCAGATCCTCTCCTACAGTGGGCCTAAGGTCTTCATTCTCACAGTCAATTGTACAATTATAAAACTTGCAGTTACTTGTGTCTAGTATTGTAAGAAATTCTGTCTCAGTTTAATTTCTGCGAGCATGAAAAGCTACCAGTTAACAGCAACAGCAAAGCGTAAGGTGGTGCAAAGAGACCTGACCCATCCGCCCTGTTCAGAGTCAGTCTCAGTTACATGGAGGGTAACTGGATTACATCTAAAAGAGGCCTTTAGGAATCCTTTTACACAAGATGATACACCCAGCCTAAGTAGTGTTTAGGCAGAAAGCAAGAGCTTGTTTTATTCAGATGTTCTGGGGTACAATGTTAATGAGTTCAAGGGCTTAAATCTTGTTATGGTCAGATCTTCAGGAGTGTCTGTTGACCTTCCTTAGGTAGGCTTTTTTGCTGTGGAAGAGTAGATGTGGTCAGCTCCATTACAGGTGGGGGTGTTTCCTAGAAATTCATTTTAGCTTCTGGCTAGACTTCCTATTTAGATTTTTCTGTCCCAAAGCTATTGCCTGTGTGCAAATTCAGTTGTAGTCTGTGCTGAAGTAAGAGCTGGGGCTTTGCTGGCTGTTGTTTATATAGAGTCTGGTAAAGTGCTGTTCAGCACTTCTAACCTGTGAGGTTGTGATGGGTTTGTATAATATCAGCAGTCTTGGAGAAAGCTGTCTAGCAGTAAAGGAGAGGGACCTGCTTGGTCTGCTTTTAATAGCAGTCAGTTCCTTTTACCTGTTTGCCCTGGTCCAGGTCTCTGGTGTCTCTTCAGAGTGCCAGCTCCACAGTGAGTTTGGCCACCTTCTTCCATATGTAGGAGTGTACAAGTAATTTCCTTCCTTACCCATCTGGCTTGCTTCATACTTGCTTTATCAGGGTATTA